ATATTTGGGGTGTGGCTTGGATTGAGTTGTTCTTTTCAACATGCCACGCTGGATGTGGTGGTACACACCTGTAACCCCATCAGGAACCTGCAGCAGAAGGATGGAGAGTTTGAGACCAGCCTATGCCACATAGCAAGACTGTGTCAAAAAGCCCCCCAAAAAATCCTGAGAGCTAAGGTAACTTAAAGCATTCACTGTCCAAAAAAAAAGAAAAAGCATTCACTGTCAAGAGAAAATTTGTTAAGTTATAGCAAGAGATCCCTTTTTGACATTCTCTTTGATGTATAGAAAAAATAGGGAGATAAAAGCTGTGGTATTGATGTGACTAAATATTGAAATATTACATATTGCCTTATGGCCAACTACACCATGATCGTTTCTGAGAAACTACCTCATGAACTGGTTGTCCTCAACATGGATTTAGAGTAACCCCCAGATTTTTATCTCTTATATCCCTGAATCATGGAGTTGAGGAACTTTTTTGTTAGGGCAGTAATTTGGTTAGTGTACTCTTCTTTTTTTTTTTTTTTGCTACCAGGAATTGAACTCAAGACATTGCACTTGTGAGGCAGGTGGGGTGCCACTAAGCCAAATCCTTGGACCTGGTTAGCATACTCTTTATTTCCAACATTGACTTGAAGAGAATGTCTATTTGTAATGTAATTATTTTACAGAACTAAGAGATTTCAAAGTATTAACCTATTGTGTCTTTTCATCATCTTAGTCTTAATTCTTACAATTCTTGGAGTTACCAGAACTTGGGAGAAGAGCTACTGAATTGCAAAATCCTAGAAGTTACTATTTATATATCTTTAGGTAAAAGATGCCCTTGGAGTTCTACAGTGTACTTACTGCCTGTGTGGCTATACATGGTGGCCTTTGTTGGAGGGAAAGAAGATATGAAAGAAAAGTCATTCTGTATATTTGAACTAGGAGGGGAAAAGTCCAATCTAATGGGTAATAATTTATGCATTTTATTTTTTTTACTTTTTTGTTTGTTTGTCTTTGAGGTAGAGTCTCAGGCTGGCCTTGAACTCAATAGCCCAGGTTGGCCTTGAACTTGGTCTCCGAGTGCTAGGATCACAGATATGTCACCACGCCTTGGCTTCCTTTGCTTTTTTTGAGATAGTCTTTCTGAGTTGTTAAGTTGCCTAGGCTGAGTTTGAACTTTCAGTCCTCCTGCCTCAGCCTCCTATGTGCTGGGATTACAGGTGTACATCACCAGGCCTGGCTGCATCTCGGTTTTTGTAAGTATACTCTGTGATGTTTTCAATGTAGTGAAATCACCTAAGGATAAATTTCTCAGAATATATTCCTGTTAAATGATGCATATTGGCTAATTTATTTTTCAACAGCCTTTAAGGTAGGTTCTATGGTTCCTATTTCGCAGACTTGGAGCAAGAGGCATAGTGTAATTAAGTGACTTACCCCAGGTTATCTGGCTAAGAAGGCACATAGCCAGGATTCAAAGTAGACTATCTGGTTCTAGAATGGTACTAAGTAAGGTGTACTGCCTCCTCAACCTTATTTTGGCACAGTTTATATATGTTTTGCTGATGAAGTTAGAATGATTCCCAAGTCATATTTTCTCATTCAGAGACTCATTTACTTAAACAGATGTTTGTTGAATACTTCATGCTGGGCCAGGCACTTTTTAAATTTAACTTTTTAATTATTATTATTTTAGCATTTCTAAATATTGTGGTTTCAGATATTGAATATTTTGAAGAAATTATGAGGGTGATGAGATACTTGTAGGCTGGGAACCCCTCCTTGAGATTGGTAATCTCAATCAAAAGTGAAAGGTGTCCTGAGTAGATAGCATTTTGTACTGAGACTTGAATGTGATGTGCTTGACATTTAAGGCTGGAAACCAGATTTGGGTTAAGAGAGCTCAACTCAACATAAAAGGACCAGCTAATACAAAGCCCTAAAGTACAAGACAGAAAATATTACTCAGCACTTTACTATATATCAGACATCATGCAAGGCTCTTGGGATAGACAGTGATGGCAAACCTTTAAGGGATTTCAGTGATAACAAACAGCCTGCTGCGGCACCTGTGTCACAGATTGACCACCGCTGGGATTATGTAATGAGCAAGACAGGCATGGTCCTTTAATCCTAGAGCTTCAAGTTTGGTGGGAAAGTCAAACATTAAACAAACACTAGTAATAGTAATTATGGTTATGCAGAGGGCTACGAAGATGCAATGAGAGTATAATATGGAGTTGAGTAGTGGGTTGAGGCATTAGGGAACACTTTCAGGAAGGAAGCTTTTAAAACTGAGGTAATACTGTTAATAGGTAACCAGCAAAACTGGCCGTGGCGGCTCTTGCTTATCATCCCAGCACTCAGGTGACTGAACTAGGAGGATCACTTTGAGTCTGAGGCCAGCCTTGGCTACATAGTAAATTCAAAGCCAGACTGAACTGCATAGTGAGACCCTGTCTGAAAAAAAAAAAAGGTAACCAGAAAGAGGAGGCGTAATTAGCATATGCAGAAACCCGGAGATTGGAAAGAATTTGATTCATTTGGGAGACCTGTCCAGCAGCCAAACAAAAAAAGACAATGTAACTATAGTCATAAAGTAGAGAAAGAAGGATCTTGACAAGATAGTTTGGGATCAGATCAAATAGGGCATTACCCTTGAGTAGCGGAAAGACAGAAATTCTAAGGAGTAGTATGTATTTGGACTAATGTCTGTGGCTGAATTGTAGAGAAAGATTAGAGCAGGTACAGGAATAGATTTGGGAAGATCAGTTAGGCCACTGCAATGGTTCTGGTAGGATATGATGTGGTATATGGATGAGAGAGGTGACTAAAATTAGAGAGGAAGTCGTTTGAGAAATATTTATAAAATAGACTCATAGGACTTTGGCTAATTGGATGTGTTGAGGTTGCATGTGAAAGAGATACATAGAAGAATGACTCCCCCAAGTTTTCCTCACGTGTGGCTTATTATACAATTTTATTTATTTATGTATGTATGTGTGTATGTATGTATTTATTTTCAGTACCGGGGAGTGAACTCGGGACCTTGCAGCAAGGCAGGCCCAGTAACACTGAGCTAAATCCCTGGCCCTATACAATTATTTTATTGGGGTAGAGCACACTGAAGGAAGAGCCAGTTTAGGGATTGAGTAGAGAAGTATACATTCAATTTGGAGTAATTTTGGACAGGTTGAATGTGAAGTGCTTGTGAAACATCACAGTATAACTGTTGAGTAAGTTAATTGGATGTGATTCTGGGCCTCAGGAAAGGCTTAGAGGCATATGGTTGAATCCTCTTATGTGTTTGGTAATTGAAGTAGGGTAGACATGGAATGGCTTGCAAAGCAAGTGAGAGGGAGGAGTTGGAGAGGTATGAGGAAAATTAGGAGAATGGTGGTGTGGAAGCCAACAGACTATGTGACGCTGTGTAGCAGGCACTGTTCTAAGCATTTGAATATTTTTACTCAGTGTTTGTAACCTTATGAAATAGGTGCTTTTATTTTTATATTATACATGACAAAAATGATAAGGAGGGCACTGAATAACTTACATCACTAGATACTAACTGGAGAAGTTCATTTTTGAACTTGGGCCATCTTATTCTGGTGGGGGTTTGTTTGTTTGTGTTTTGTGTTTTGTTTTTCTGGTTTTTAAACTTCAAGACAGAATCTTTGAGTCACTAAGTTGCCCAGGCTGGACTTGAATTTGCATCTATGTATCTTCTTGATTAGCTCCTAATTGTCTTCCAAGGCCTTGGGATGTTATCCTTTTGTGTATTCCTTAGTCAAATTCTTCAGGCACTTAGGTGTCCCGCAGCTTTTAAATTCTTTTTTTTCTCCCAGTACCAGGAATGGAACTCAGGACCTTTGTGCTTGCCGGGCAGGTGTGGTGCCATTGAGCTACATCCCTGGCCCAGGACCATGAGCTTTGTGTTACAGTTATATGATTATTTTTACCCATATTTAGAAGACCAGTCAGTCTTCTGACAAGCTGACCTACCTTTCTTCCTTCCTTGCTCCTTCTCTGTCCTCCCCTTCCTATTCCCCGCCCTGCTTTATTTTCCTTTCTATCCCTGGGGTTGAACCCAGGGTCTTTGCACTGAACTACATCACCAGCCCTTTTTTTTTTTTTAATTTTTAAAATTTGAGACAAGGTCCAATTAGGTTGCTAAGTTGCCCAGACTGGGCTTACTTTGAGATCCTCCTGTCTTAGTTTCCTAGCATGTTAGGATTATAGGTATGTACCACCATGCCTAGTTTATGAGTAGACTTCTTTTTGAGACAAGAGATTTTTTTTTTTTTTTTTTTTTTTTTGGATTAGGGATTGAACCCAGGGCCTTCTCACTAAGCCACATCCCAAGTCCTATTCCTCCGTACTTTTAAATTTTAAAATAGGCTTTCATTAAATTGCCCATCTTGAGCTTGAACTTAGGATCCCCTTGTCTCAGTCTCCCATGTACTACTGTCATGCCCAGCTTCTGAAGTTGTTGAAATGTTGCTTGCCCAAAGCAAAATTTGTGTATTATACATTTATATCTATTTGTATGTTGGTCTGTCTGTATCTAGAGTATCTCCTTGATGAGCTGTTAAGAGAAGGAAAAGGTAAAATACTGGCCTTTGTTAGGCTGAAATAAGTGAAAAGGCAGAATAAGAAGTATCAAAAAATAAAGTTGCTTTTGCACTAGCAGATATGTATATGTACTTATTTGCCTTCTAACCCCAAAATGTTTCTTAGCAGTAAAATTTGCTTCAACCTGGGACAAACACTTAAAAGTGTGTATTATTATTGGTGTTCATGTATTTCCTGTAGATGTAGTTGCACATTTCACTGATGGAAATCATAACAACAGTCAACATATATAACAAATGCATATTTGGCATATTTATTGGCATTGTGTTGAATGCTTTATATGTACACATCCACCATTGTTGTTTTAACTTAACAGTTGGACTTCATACTTTGAGTTGAAGTTTATTTTTCTTTAAATAAAAGGAACCTTTTGGAAACACAGTTGTTAAAAACTCATAAGATGTGATGCTGCCTGGTGGAATATTTACAGGAATATTTACAATATGATGATGTTTGCCCCATTTATGGGCCATTCCAAACTTTGTAAATTGAACAATCCATTTTCTTTAGTCTTTTCTTACATGAAAGTACTGCTTCCTTCCTGCCCCTTTAATTATTGTAGTTGACATTCTCCAGACCTTTTCTAGTTATTAACTACAAGAAATTGTTACAGGTTTAGAAGTTCTTTCTGTTTTTTTGCTTATTCATTTATTCACCAAACTGTCAGGTGTACCATTGGTATTTAATGAGTATACTTGTTACACAAAAGTCAGTATATTATGCTCTAATCTCATAGTCTGGTAAGAGAAGCTATGTAAAGAAATATTTCTGTGATAAATAAAATTTAGGCGGTACAAAGTAAGATCAAAGTAAGGAGAGAAGTGACTGAGGAATATTTTTTAAAAAGTCTTCAAACAGGAGATAACTACTCAGTTGAGTACTAGAACACTAATGGTTGTTCAGACAGGGTAGAGGGAGAGGAAGGAAATTCCCAAGTGGAGGAGCCACCATGTTCAAAGGCTAAGAAGTGTGAAATAGTGCAGTGGTAGAACTTCAACATAGCATTGCAGTATCAATGTCAGTGGCACGAAAGAAGTATCTGAGATATAAAGAGTTTTGAGTTGTGTTGTATGTACCTTGTATAGTAAATGGTAGAGAGACATTAGAAGTGTGACCTGGGGTAGGGAGGACTCTTTCATCTGTTTTAGAAAAATTACCCTTGAGGGGGGAAAAAAGAAAGAAAATTTACCCTTAGAGGTATTGTGAAGGAGAGTTTAGTGAGGGGAGAATCCCAGACTTGCATATTTGAGGTGTGAATGTATTGTAATGGTAGAAGAAATGATAACTACAAATCTTGGCTCTGATAGTGGAGCAGTAATTTGAATCAAGAGGCA